TTTAACATATATGGTATCACTTTAATATATCACGTATATCGTTTAACATATATGGCATCACTTTAATATATCACGTATATCGTTTAACATATATGACACCACTTTAAAATATCATGTATATCGTTTAACATATATGGCCTCACTTTAATATATCACATATATCGTTTAACATATATGGCATCACTTTAATATATCACGTATATCGTTTAACATACATGGCATCACTTTAACATATCGCGTATATCGTTTAACATATGTTATCACTTTAATATGTGACTTATATCGTTTAACGTCGACGTTCTGGATGCGTGTTGCAAGTGTGAACGCTATGAACAAAGCAAATTAGTAGCGTTGTGATAAAAGCCCCTTCTATCCAATCACAATCACGAAGCAACAGCAACAGGTCATAGGTTGATAAGATACGGCGTATAAACTGAACCGATTGTCGACATGGTAATCAGCGAAATCTGGGCTGAATTTCTATTTCTAGTCATTTAATTGTTATTGTATGTCTTGAATTATACTATCAGCCAGTAATGACTAGATGGATCGGTATATTGGTGACCCACACTTTGCAAGGTTATCTCCGACAATCACGGTACATCACGCATTTCCCTATACGGGGTCAGTTCACTTGCTGAAATAAAATAAAATGAAGTGAAATGAATTATGGGCCGTGCACCAGATTTTAATAAGATTGCAGATACCAATAAACTGCTCGGTCGCGAAACTGTGGCTTTCAAAGTTAAAACCGATCGGCGTACTTATGTCGAATTGGAACAGGTCAGTTGAGCCATCGTACGCTCTTAAGGTTTCTAATCCGATCGGAAATTCCTCCTTCGTTGAACAATATTTGAACTCACTTCGCTGAAACATTGAAACCTTGAAATTTCAAGAGCGGCTGAGCTGCGAATGACCTGTTGATTCATGACAACCACGGCGGCGGACAAAAATGATTTACTTATAGCTTGTTAAAAATACACAAATTAAGATTACTTTGTCAAGTTCAACAGTTATATACAAACACCGAGTCAACCGATTATATCGTCTAACGATCTCATTACATGTGAGAAATAGCCGTTAAACTTGATTGCAAAATACTCATATTACCGTTGTCGGGCACCGAGAGTTCGTGTCACCATGGTGATTTGTGTTTACATTACATTCATATTTCTCGTGTCGGTTTCCGTCGATGATAATTAAATAACATACAAAGTGTCTTTGACGGTTCAAGTCTATGACAAACGTATACAGCCGTGAACTGTAGAGGGCGCCTTAGTTTAGGGACAGAGGAAAACTCTAAATGCTTATAGTAAGTTCACTGAATATAGTAGTATAACACAAAACTGGGCGAACTTATTTATATTCTTGGCTGTATAAGTCGACATTGTTTTGTTTCTATCTTGATGGAACAAATGGTCAGTTGTCGTTATGCTACCGTTGCACGTGGTCTAATGGTGATTTATTTAAAGAGGCAATGTGATTAAAATTCAGTATTTTCTTATTTTCTAAATATTACATAATTATTTTCGATATTAGTTCTTGATAAAAAGACATCAGGGGATGATATTTCATAAAAGATAGCCCTTAATTCTGGGAGCTAATACTAGTATAACAGTTCGCGCATGCGTCCCGGTTTTGTCTACACTACACAGGTATAAAAACTCGTGTTAATATTTTATCGAATGATTACTGCTGCCAAAATTGTATTTTTTATTTTACGATAATCATACTTATGCTTATGATGCACGTCAGAAAATGTATAACACCCTCAAGAATACTCAAAGTATCCATTGTCCCTGTATGTCTAGTTTTCACAATTTCCTCTTGTAATTTGTTTCACATTGAGAGCATCGATTTTATCGACCCCGTTGTCATGTGTGGTCACATTATATCGATGGTATGTCATGACGGGCTATGATGGATTGACTTCAAATGTCTATCCCATTCGTCGCACTGGGACCCATATCAAACACCGTAGCGATCATAGCGATTACCAGCGCGGGTAAAGTATTAGTCGGTATCACATTGTCTCGAACTGTTCCCTCGTGGTATGCGAGACTCGACTACATTTCACGAGGACAAGGGACATTGCAATTCTGTGTGATTGATTGAATCAGGAAGCTTTCAACATAAACCATGGCACTAAGCGCAACTTTAGATAAACACGACAATTTATATTATAACACTGAAACTCCACATTCTCATTGGTCGCTTGGTACCACGTGCAGCCCTGTTATCAGACGATAACTGGGCAGTGCTTGAAGTCAATGCACGAACATATGAACAATATTCTCATAAATATTCAATGTTTCTCGCACATTAGTACGGAAACAACAAACCAACCATTATACTTGAGCAATCCTTGACATTTTCATCTGGGAATTTGTCTATGTGCGTGTTTTTGCATGTCGTTTGCTCATTTTTTGGCTCTCTATAGTAATATAGGTAATTAAAATGACTCCGCACTGCCCCTTGTTGCGTGGTAACAAGGCTCAGATGGGATGTTCACTTAAATAATGGGCTCTAATGCCGAGTGGGTCTTACCCTTATTGTGCAAATCCCCGTCCTGGCCCTGTTATCAGGCAATAATGGGGAGCGCGTTGTTCTTTATTCGCTAATTATACGTTTTTTTTTCTGAAATGTATACATATTTCATTCAGTGATTCCTCTTTTGTGGATGCGCCGCAGGTCACTTCGTCTTTCTGTTAAAATCACTATTTCGCCGGGAGCGGCGCCCTCGGATAGAAGTCGCTCAGTGTCAAGGCTCTTTGTCGACCACACGGAATTGGTTTCAATGACTCGCAAGAAGTTCAAGTTAATTAATTGAGTTATTCGTTAATCGTCCGATGCGTTCTGTCGTCTGATTGCTGTTGCTATATAGTATATCAAATATATCTTTGATTCGATACGCTGAGTTTAAACTAAATATTTTTTTAGTGGTCTTAGGTTCAAATGTTGACCGATTGACGACCCTGCTTAATCTAAAAAAGCAGCTGAGCGCCATGGCAACTATTATTACGAAGTCGGTAAACGTAAAATTACAGGTCATGCACTGTTGTCACGATTCTCCAACTGTTATTCACTCTTTATGCCCCGTCTATTATTCTTTCGTTTGACTCACTTGACCCCGTCACGATTATGACTGGCACAACAGGTGGTGTGACCAGCGCCCTCGCGCGATACAGAAAAAGAAAGTTGCCGTCCCATTGACAAAAACAACAACAGGCAGCATTAGTACAAGCCAAATAGTCAACATTGCAAATGATTTGTTTACACAGAATGCTTTACAATGTCCACTTTCAATCCGAAACAGGTACACGTGTACATTGGTCTTTAGAAATGTATGCACTTTGTTTACGAAGCTGGGGGCTAGCTCGTCTTGATTTGAAAAAGAAAAACACTGCCGTAGTGTTAATTGGTATAATTCTAGCCCTGGGGTGAAAATGTCTATGTTATTTAGTCATGTCTGCGTACTACGTAACAGAATAATGTTTGGGCCAGTGGGCAAACAAATTGTTGTCATGGCGACTAAGCCACTGGTGCATGAAAATACCCACAGCAACTTTCTCACTCATACGGGAGTACGGGGAAGTGGCAATAGTACGAGCCGTGGTGCATTGTGGTACCCATTACAGGTTGTACCAACAATTATTACAGCCGGGTCGGGTGTGAACGGGACATATCGTAATTACGGCACTAAAATCGCCGAAAATCATCTACGCATGATGAGTGTTCGGAAATTGTCTCGATGATCGCAATATGGCCTTATTTGTTGTGATAACTTGTTTTCTGCACCTGCGGGGAAAAAGACAAACGTGCACGAGAAACGAACACGAATATTTATACTTGTATTAAGATTCAGTGTAGCTCCCCCCCCCCCATATATTCGAAATATCCGTCTATACACTTGACTCCAACTCGTAAAAACAGCGAGTAATTGGCACAGTTTATGACCAAATACCTGCCGTTGTTCGCGAAACTCGCTTATGAACAGCGTGACGGTGTGAACTGGCCATTGTACGCGACCGTATTGTTGGCTGAAAATTGGACTCGGACAACAAATAAATTGGGGATTCAGTTTAAATACTGTATATGCCAACTCTTTGTGTTGTTTCACCAAAGTTATGGTTAGAGTCTGTTGTGCAGACCGGTTATATGTGCCATCACACGGTGTGTTTCGGTGAATAGGGAAATAATCACCGCTTACAAACATGCATTTTAAGGAGACGATTGCTGTGTTTGTATTGACAATTGACGATATGTGGGTGCGTGGATACGGACTATTCAACGTGTTCACTGGCATATGGCTTTCGACCTGTGCCTGACGTGAGATATCAGTTGTAGCCACGCTACGAAGAGCACAATCAGGCCAAGGTGTTTGCCACTACATTACAAGTATCACAGTCGCGCTAAGGTGTCATGGACCCTTTCAAACGAGATATACGCAAAAGGATGGCACATAAAATGGCAAATATGAAACGAAAGCACCCGTCTCGGATGCCAGTGTTACCGCACATTTTATCTCTGGACAAAGCGCTGGCCTCTGGATATGTACTCGATCCAGCACTGTTTGCCAAGACGGTAAGAATGTCCGTGAACACACATACACATGTGTTACTCCCGATCTAAATATATTTGTCAGTGTGATTATTTTTCTCTATAAGTTTATGGCGTCTATACTATTACAGATTAATAGTAGTTAGTTGACTTTTCTAGGGTCTATGGTTGGTATCCATATACCACAGTCTGTCAACGCAACGATATCAGTGTTTGCGACAGAGTTCAACCTTTGATTACAATGCGATTGGGTTAAACTAGACTCATTTACCAATCATCGACGAACAGTTATTATTGTGGGGAAAAAATCTTTGTTTTCTCTAACTTCAGCTCCGAGCAATTGACACCTGTTGAAATATATGAGCTAGTAATTTTATAAAGTGTCGTATGATTTCGCGTCATGTCATCGAGACAACCGTCATTTGTGTGTTGCGCCACAGGGGTCATCATGACTACCATGGACCGTGGATCAAGTGGACACATGTTTACTTACTGTCAACATTAACTCCATGCAAATACTGAAGCTAACTTTGGGTTATGATTTCAAAGCATTCACATCCGCGTGTAATTCCTTCCATGACAGAATTTGGTGAAATCTACCAATTTCACCACCACAAGACAATTTATCGGTGACGAGTCATTTTCCACATCAATCGATCTTTACAACATTCAAATATGTTCTTATTTAAGTGTCATACTTAACCGAAGCCAATTCGGGATCCGACCATTTTCGGCCGATTTTAATTACGAATTCAATACCGACATAGATGAACAGGTTTTAACACAAAAGTCACGTCCCGGGCATATACAACACTGCACCAGTATATAAAAGTTTATGATGGGTGTCAACGATTAAGAGGTATTGTAATCTGGTTTGAAATCAATATTAACCAAATTAATAGAGAGGCCGACATGTTTACTGGTTTTCACAGAGATTAGACTCACATGTCCTCAATGTATTTTGATCTATTTCAGAATGGAGCTTACAATGGTGCTAGAAATTTCTCCTTTCCACCCGTTCCTATCGGTTCAAAGTATTCATCGCCGAGCAAAGCTAGTTCCAGTAGCTCCCTGCAGCAGCGTGACTTGGGACTTGCGCCCAACCCTAATATAGTGGAAGAGGTAGGTAAACAATCTCTCGGGGTTCGGGATCACGTGGTACGCATTCTCCAGCGAGTGGTGGCTGTAAACAATATCAACTCACTCTTAGCCGCGTACGAGATATTAGCGTTTTTCTACAATCATGTTACAGAACTGTACAATCACGGCAGTGGCAAACATAAGCACCTGTGTGTGCGTCTGAATCACAGCGCAGAGGCACGCCCAATTCTATCGACTATTAATAGAACAATTGATATGCTTTTACAAATAATCCTATCTTCAGGTACCTACCCCAAACTGTAGACTGATCATAATGCATGCTACCGTTATAAGATCGACATTGTTATGTATTAGAAAACTGAAAATTACCGGGAATATCCAAGCTTTAAACAATTATGAAACTCAAAGAATTATTCTGTGACGTCACATCCCTTCACCAATGTGACATATTCATCTGGAACGACAAAAACGTCTGTTAAATACTCAAACATCAATACTAATACATGAATATACCCAGAATGTAATAAAAAAAATAGAAGTATATTGGCGTAAAGAAGGTGGGGTAAATTTACCATGACATATCCCGAGAAAATGCTGGCTAAGTTACAGTGGATTAATAGCGGCCATTTTGTGGCCATTCTTTCAAATTACAAATTGAACCTTTTACATAATTTTTAATCTTCTGAACTGAATACAGCGTGTCATGTGTGTTTTTGCAGTGCCGGTTAACAGGTTTGAATTTTTTTTAAATATCAGTGTACTAGTACAGTCATGATGCATGTTTATTAGCAACGAAGTAACCGACAAACAAACAAACTCCGAAGACGTATGATCACTCCTTTTTTACGATTTACGATCATTTTGAAGTAGCTTTGAAACCTAAATGTGTTAGTGAAGTGTGGGGGAGGGGGCAGTTTACTTGCTGGTTTCAGAAACACTAACCGAATCGAATCGAACACATGCATATCGAGTACGTAAAACACTTTATAATCATAACTGAGATGAAAACACAGATTTGGTAATTAGTTAATCTTTCATGAAACAAAGTTCGTTCGAGATTTAGTGTACTGAATTGATAGACTGAAATGGAAGTAGTGAATTATAGGTCGACATTCGTTGTCCGGATTGTAAACACGCCGGCACATTATTAGACGGGTTTTGAAAGTGTCGGGGTACAGTGAACGGTGGGAGTGGTTTGAAACACAAAACCTGATTATAAATACCTTCGTGAACAAGTCTCGACTTTACCCCATCACTGTAAGCACTTGTCGTATTTACATTCATCTCTATGACGACCACAAGCGATTTCTGACCCTATTCTCGGCGTAGGTGACCTCCGGCCCGGATGACTTGCCTCACTCTGTTACATGAAGGCAATTTCACGTTAATCATGTTCGCGATACTAATCAATAAAACCGAATTTTCTTCTATCCTAATAATTTTTTTTAATAATTAAGGGGGTAATTGGGACAAATATTTGTGTTACAGCAAACAGACACTAGGGGGGCTGTCCCTTAACGACTATGGAATGTATTCGTCCATGCGTGCAATGTTTCTACTAGACCCCGCACTCCACTTCACACTCACAAAACACATTTACTGTTGTACATTTCTGATCAAACAGCCAATCATGGATGTACAAATACTTATTATTTTCAGATCGGTGATCGACACTGGCATGTACAGGGAAGAAGAGGAAGAATTAGTATCCGAAACGACAAAAAGATAGTCACTTATCTACGGGTCAGTTGCGTACGAATTTTAAACTGAAATGTATAAAATTAAAATTACCCAAGCATACTATATGGGTAATTACAAATACCACAAGCCCTTGGTGTTATGTGGTTTGTAATTCGTTTTGTGTGTGTGATGTTCATGAAATGGGGAAAATTTGAACATGAGTTTGGTTTATCGACCGTGACCCGTATTTGTTTTTATTACAGCGACAACTTCGTAAACGCATACAGCAATGGTATGATGAGACCGACAGTGACGAGTACGACGAGGAGAAACACGACAGAATGCCGTTGAACTTGGATTCCGAAGCATACGCGAAAAGGGTAAGAACAACGGCAATCAATGTTCAATTTAACCAGTTGTTCTATTTCACGCAGTTTATCGCGTCGCAAGCGGGCGCTGTCCACGAACAATCGGGTAGTTTGTAGTTTTAAGGGCAACACGATTTACTTTTAGCTATTTTAACCCGTATTGTGTTATTTCAGACCCCGTCTTGTAGGCACCGAAAAAAGGCAATATTTGAGCAATATAACGATGTCGGTGGACGTGTGAGTAAGGAGGGGACGATGGTGAAAGAGGACACATTTGTGATGCGTCATCCTTTGATCGATATGTCGCCTCTACCGACGTCCCGTGTGCATTCGTCGTCAGATTCTGTCCTCGACGTTATTGACGGTGATATTATGGACAACAACAACACACTGACGCAGTCCAGTGCTCTTAAGTATACCTCACAGAACGGTGACAATGATGTAGTCGTTAATGGAAACAGTCTCGAGAAAGGTGTCACTTTTGCGGAACGAGAGTTCGAAATCGTCCCGGAAGATAAGCGAACCGCTCCTAAAAGCTCCAGCTCGATGTCTATTACGTCCATAAGCAGCGGCACCAGCTCGCAGAGACAAACGCCTGTCCACAGGGAAGGACAAGTCCCGGAGACCCTCCCAGAAATACACACAACCAAACACGACTCCCACTCATCACAATCTTCGACGGCGCAATCTCCGCCTCTTGTCGATGTCCTAAAACTGCCCAAAATTGCCGGTGCGAGTACTGAATATGAAAATGTGAACGAGGACTCTAATATCGATGACGAGGTGCGCCAGGCACAGGAACGCCCTGATACAAGAGGCAGCACAGTGGACTCCGATGAACAAATTGTAGCTTTTACACCAGTGCCAACTCCATACCCGTTACCAATAGGCCGATCTGATACCAACGATTATCTCAAGTTAGACTATCCAAACACAGTTGATCAGATAATCCGTGGACAGTTAAATGTCAAATGTCAAATCAATAAGAGGATTATCCGCATATATGTATCATCGGGAATATCAGGTACGTACACAAAATATACCGGGTTTCCCAGAACATGGGCTCTATTAATTAATGCATGCACACTGGTCATGAGATTTAGTTGGTACAACCATGACTCTAGCGCATTAAATAACCGATGATTGTAGATGTAAAAAAAAATGTCAACATTTACTAGGATGACAACTTCTTGAATTTACGTCAAATTGGTCGTGGTTCATTCCAGTTGTGGTTAATTTCAAACCTTGTCCTATATACGTATCCACGGCAGTAATCGCAAACAAGGTCAACACACTGTGTCAAATGCATAAAGTACGTTGAAAAATAAACTTTACAGAAATATGAAACACACGCGTGTTTAAAGAGCGGTAGTTACCAAGGTAATTTTAGGTAATCAGTGCAAGTCGAGCCCAGGTTACCTCGCTTTAAACTGGGTGTGCTGGTCGCATATCCATATGTATATAACACTTACTGTCACTCGTCCTAGATTGTGAACCGGAGAGAAACGCAATGATGGAAAAGGTGTATCCCAAATTGAGACAACATTGCACGGAGAGAGGATTTGAGCTGCAAATTAGCGATCCCAATTGGGGGTTGAAAGACTCAATATTTGACGACCAGGGACATACTGATCTATGTCTACAAGAACTAAAACGAGCAAGACAAGTGTCGAGAGGGCCTAATTTCGTGGTGAGTAAACCTTGTGGTTTACCTCGTTTTATGCACTGGGATATCATGAAGTATTCCGGTTAGCATTTTTTGCAAATTCTAAGGAATGCAAGTTGAAAACCAACGTAATTATTTTCGTCATTTCTATGAATGACCACTCGGTATGGACCATTGTCATATACACCATTCTAAAGCACGTTTTGTATCTTACAGACATTTTTAGCTCAAAAATACGGCGCTAGTGAAATCCCGACATGCATTTCGTGTGAAGAATTTAATGCGTTAACTAATCTGCTACAAGGCCGTAGGGATGAGTACATTGCATCACACCGACCGCCTACCAGCGAGGGAGACGTCGAAGCGCCCTCTGGCGATGGAAGTTTGGTGAGAGAGAAATCAAGTGATAGCTTGAAAACCAAAGAGCCCAATGTGTCCAAGACGGTAGAGGCTCAGAAGACGCAAGTCAGGTAGGTCTCGTAATATTGTGTTAAACTTTCGTGGTAGTCTTTTGAGGGTGATAAAATCGCCTTATATCTGCAATGTCAGACTTGTACTATAGTTGCTGTTTGAGTCGTTAATAGTTTTAAACCTATTTTTGTTCCAGTGGCGATCAGGTGTCTATGCTGTGTTTTAAACCATATTATTGATACGGAGACAAATAAAATAGTATTTTAAATAAAATAGAGGAATCACAAAATTTTCTCGTCGTTATAGTCATCTCATTTGCCAAAACGTCTTGCCTCTGCAAATAGAAAATATCAAAAACCGTCTCGACAGTGGCATACGTAAATCATCGAACCACAAAGCTGGAAGATTTCAAACGGAACAATCTATCTTGTAAATTTATGTTTCACACGAAAACAAATTAAAGTTTGCGTCATATGGGAATCGGACATCCCATAAGTTCATTTTCATAAAACAATCCTAACATCCAAACGCGAAAGTTACGGTATACAACACACCCACCCGCATAAATAATTACTAACACTCCATGCATTTATAATTAAATACCGATTAAGCATCACGTTTATATCCATTTCTATTCATAATCTTAATCCCCACCATTTACATCTATTCACAAGGGATATTCAGTTGTGTTTAATAATAATTAATGTCATGCTGTTTAACTCTTTGTATTCCTCCAGTCATTTTGTCACATATGTAATAATCAGGGAGTGGTGATATTTCTTCAACCGTCTTTGTCGTATCCATGTTGTAAATGTATCAACCACTTTCTTCACCGTGTGTTTGCTTTTCCATTTATTGTTTGCACTCCCTTTTACATGATAATATACCTATATTTGCTGGATAACCACAGGAAGTTCCGCGCAAGGAAAGCATTTCTAAGAGGGGCTTCTAAAGTGATGCGTGCTAGCAGGGTCACACGTGCCTTCATGGTACGATCCATCAAACCAAATCTCACGAGAATACGGTAATTGTAACGAAATCACGTTTCCTGCACTTTTGTTTTTTATCACTTTTAAGTGCTATATATATCGTGCTTTGCCGTTTAGTGTTCACTAACCCCATACACAGCTTGTACCTGCAATTAACATTTAGGGAGAACCTTCATATTTAGAAAAGAAGGATAGAACGAGGGGGATCTTCTGCTGCAAGGAACAAATATCGAAATTCTCATTTCTCCAAAAAACAAAGACGGTTTCAATTTAAAATTGGTATTGAATAACACTGCCATGGTTCATGTAGTTGGTGATCTCCCTCCCTCGGAAATAACAGAGAACTCACGAGTGTATCATAGAGTAAACTAATAAGCACTTAGTTTAAAATAAAATATAGAGTCGATTAACAAGAGTTTTCTATACATGTGAAGTCACTTCCGTATGTCTTATCTATATATGGACTGTGACGTGGCGTCACTTCCATGTGTCGATTCTATATATAAGCTGTGACATGACGTCACATCATATGTATTTCCCATACATAGACTGTGGCATGACGTCACATCATATGTTTTTTTTTTGTGACGTTATTTCATTTCTTATCTATATATGAAGTTGGGTTAACTATACCATCTCTATGCGCGGGACAGTTTGTGTGACTTTATTTTTCAGCCTGACAATTCGAGCAGACGTAACCGACTTATTTCAGCATTATGTCACGGTCACGGTAATGTAGCGCTCTGTCTTACGCGACAGAACTGAATTGCGCTTTCGTTTGTTATTGCGTGTTTCTTGCGTGTTGCATGACGTCATATTTGCACGATTTGTATTGATGTTGGCTGTGTAATACTTTGCACTAGCAGATAGCAGAGCGCTTTAGATTGGAAACAATTCAGTAGCCAGTATAATTTGGTAGTTATTTTGGTGGGACGTTTTAGTATTTCCAGTTACAAGAACGTATTTTTAGAGACAGACTATGTCTCACCTTCAGTAACTGACTTGTGTGCGTTCTAAGCTGGCTGTAACAAACTCTAGTGATAATTTACATTCATTACGGTCTGTCGCGTGAAGCCATGTCCATCCTCGCTGTGGGGATGGAAGGTGTACACGGAATTATTACTAATTACTTGGTGTATTGTTGTTGACAGCGAAGGGGAAGGGGGCAAGTCGAAATTGAACCAATCACACGACGATGATGTGGTGAAAGAGAAGTCTGACCGTGACTACGACTCCGAGATTACGCTGCTTAATACATGGTATAAACTAGATGAAAATACAGTTCCACCTGTGTACCGACTACAACTAATCAGGTCAGTTAATCCTCATGACTATCGGGACAGTCGTGATACTTGATTCAACAGCCACGTAATCATTTTCATCCGGGTATGTTGTTCTGTTTTCAGCTCCCAGTTCAAAGACATCAACGCCCGTGATAACGTACGAAGGGTGACTGCAAAACAACAATGGGGAATCCAACATCGCCGATTGGAGGCGCTGTTTCAGACTTACATCAGAGATATCACATCTGATCCTGCCAGAATTGATAATTGCTACAAGTCAGGTTAGTTGAGAGCACCAACAACATTCCAAAAGCAGATTCCGTCCACTTTTCTGTCAGTGTCCCAAATTTATGAAATATTGATTATTATATTTCAGTACTGGAGAGAGAGATCGAAGAAGGGATATTGAATTTAGAGTACAAACCTTTCGAGGAAGTCCAATGGTTTCGGAGAAAAATCACAGACTTAGAAATGAATGTTGGAGATTTCAATGCCAAGGAATTTATGGATATCATCCCAATGTCATCAAAAGCTAACAAAGAGAGAAGCGACAGGTTGCATGTGTTGAGTAACATTAAAATACCAGACAGGGTAAGTAATCGAGTTGTCACGGTTACAGTTAGATCAGCAAGTAGATGTTTCTCTCCATAATCCCTGATATTTCGGTTCATTAATGGTAAAGTTATCATTTCAATAGTTATTTAAGAAAAAGTGATATAACACACTTTTTCTATTAATTGCGCCCTCTAGTAACGCCCCCGTTACTTCGAAATTACGTAAATAGAAGAATTATACTTAGAAATCATTCTTATAATTTATCAAAAGAATGTAAAACATTGGTACTGTTCATATTAATCTACCCCGAGGCCCTCCAGAAAAATAGATAAATATAAAGTTACATTAACTATTTACAAATAAAATATTCAAAATCTTTGATTTAAAAGTTTAAAAATTGTAAATTATTCTTACGGGCGGTGAAAATTCGTTCCAATGCGCTAATGGCCGCAAACTTGAAAGAACGTTTATATAATTTCGTCACGACACACGGTAATGCGGGAGATTTTGAACTCGTTTTAATATTTGTTATATTTAGCTGGTTCTGGTAATGCTAACGTTGTGACAACGTTGAAAGATCACCACTACGCAAATGTGGTCTAGTTATGTACTAGTATGTAAGAAATTGACACACATAAGGACTCAACCATGACCGTTCTCTCTGCATCCTGGACCTTCAATTCGGGCTTGTTCATTAGTCAGTGATTTATCAAATCAGATTTCGGAAACATCAACATTACCATCATTTCTGGGGTCTGACAAACGAGTGTTTTTGGAACAGGATTCTCACATGTAAATTAACAACATTTTAGGCCTTTGTTGGGTAATTTGAAAAAAGACCAGGCTGATTTTGAACCACAGTCAGATAGTGTACAAGTATAATACAATAAATGGAATTTAATTTAATTTAATTTGCCGTCATTTACTCTATGGGGTCGCCATCTTGGATAAGTTGAGAAACGGGTTTACATATATTCGTAGAAATAGAACTTTGCCTGGGAGATTGAGGCTGCAGGTCAAAATAATGTCGCCCAGTGACGGCACAGAAGCGTTTAATCTCTAGGGGCACGGCTTATATTGAAGTGTTTGTTTTGACACAAACGCGGAACGGCGAAAGATGTGAAGGGAAAGTGAAAAAAGCTGCTAAAATATCAGTAATTGTAATTCTAAACATGTTTATTTTCAGACAAGTTTATCAAATGTACACGAATACAGCGTCGGTTGGCACGCCGATGGTATCAGACCAGAGACCAATAGAGGGCACTACCTCTACATTGAGAAGATGGCACGTGACCTCGGTGACGTACTGATCAATAAAGTAGATCGCGCCATTCATGATAATATGGCGGCCACGGATGCTAAATCGAAACTTTATGACGAAATTGCTCAGCATGTACAGTTTGTGAGGGAACGGTTAGTAGTTCGACCAAGTGCATGGACAGAGTAATATATAAAACACTTGTTTTGTATTTCACATTTCATAAACTGAAATAAGCAGAATTTGTTTTGCAGAATTGTTAAAGCAAGAGGGTCGCCACCTGCGCACGCGCGGGATTTGGGTCCCAAGACTGCGCATGTGCAGATGACGACTCCCCTGCTTTATTGTCTATATTGCCGATTTGCATTGTGGGTCGCAATTCAACAGAAGCGTTGTTAAACAAATATTCTGTTTATAAGCGAATAATAATGTGGTTTTGTCATGTAGGTCACGCGTTTTCCATGGCCGTAAAGAAACAATGAACAAAATAAAGGAATACGTTCGAATGGGTCCCCGTCAACCATTGATAATCCACGGTCAATCAGGTTACGGTAAAACATCAGTCATGGCTAAGGCTGCAAAAGACGCACCATACATGTTGAAATAGTGAGTTACCCTATCCTTATTCAATTAGTTAATTGCACAGTACTGTTGTTTTTCGTTTGTCATTTAGTATTGAACCGCATGTGCAAGCTTGATGGAAATATTTGTTGTATTAACATGTATGCATGATACTTGCTGCAATTATTCTAGATTTTAAAAAATACGATTATTCCCAATTTGGACATATTTAGGATTTAATTCGAAACTGTATTTGTTACTATATTCTATTGTATCTACGTATTGCGTGTTCATTTTGATGAATCTTAATATTTAATCAGCCTTCACGACGAGGATAGTTTAGCAAAATTGATATTATATAATCATAATATAACTTGTACGATGATGAAGTGGCCTTAACGCACGTTCTTCACGTTCACCTTTCAGTGGCGAACCTCACGTAGTGGTTCGATTAGTTGGGATAACCGGTGAATCTTTACACATTAGACAGCTACTACGTAGTATGTGCCTGCAGTTATGTTATATCTTCCATCAAAACTCAGCAATGATACCACACGTAAGTTGTATCCTATTAGTCACGTGTTACCGTTGTTGTAACATACTGTGTGCTTAATACTTGTACTTGTAGTTCCATTGCAAATTAAAGTTATTGAACATTTGGGTACTGTGAAAGAATTAATTATTCACGGGGTTGTGTTTTCTTATTATATTGACGTGAACAAATAAAAATCCCTGGTAAATGCATGGAATTAAAAACCAGTCGATATGCTCAAAATAACGAAATTAAATGATATGTGGGTCTCATATAAACAAAGATGGCGACTTTGACTGTTGCGCAGATCAACGAGTACAAACTGGGACGTTTCCAAGCTTTAATTGGGTAATTGTCAGGTGATTAGAAAGTATCGACGGAATCACCGGCGGTATTCAGTGCATGTCGCGCCCCAGGTCAAACCTCATACTTGTGATTTCCATTTGAAGAGCGCATTGGATTGTGGGGAAATTAATGTTTATCAACACAAATGTCGCACATGCAGCAACGCGACGACCACCGCCCTTTAAATACCTGTGAAAAATAATGCAATTACAGTACACTGTCAATTATTATATCCTCTAAAATTTCAGAAAAATACACAATCACAGAAGATCTGGGAAATGTATGTTCATTTAATATGACTCAAACAAGACATGTTCTGTATTATAGGACTATAGGGGAGCATTAAATGACTTTAATGGACGACTTGCTGGGGCAACGGAAGACAATCCTCTCTTTATTTTCATGGACTCGTTAGACCAGTTATCCAATGAAAATGACGGCCGTGGATTACAATGGCTGCCAAAAGAACTGCCAGAACACGTTTATATGATCGTTTCCACGCTCTCCGAAGACCACTACGACTGTTTCAGCACACTGAAGGTATGCACAGTTAAACCAATACAATCAAGTTGATGTTGTACAAAACGTACTAATATTGCATCGTTCATGTTCATTGCGCCCACTAGAGACGAAATGGGTGTCGGGTGCTGTTCACAGCATCGTTATTATTCAGATCCGTGGTCGTGTCAATATTAGAAACGTTAAAATTATTGTAGTCGGAATTGGAGGTTTTTGGAGCAGTCTGATTATTAAACTTAATAGAGTCGCGTGTCAACATATGCTAATCAACTTATGCTACTTCGCTGTATTTCTCTTTGCAGAAAATGTTTCCGGAAGGCGACAATTTTGTCGAAATACCAGAACTGCCAGAAAGCGATGCGGAATTCATTTTGGATCATTTGTTAGCGCACGAGAACCGTGCTATGACAACCGAACAGCATGACGTCATCACCACGGCATTTAGAAAATGTCCAACTCCTCTGTATTTGCGACTGGCAATAAACGAGTCCAAGACATGGAGGAGTTATTCAACCGGAAAACAAATCTGGATCGCTGACAGCGTGAAGAAAGTCATAACTGGTAATTACTTTTTCAATTTTTGCCGATTTATTTGAGAAAGCACTAAATCTGAATCTGAATTCATATACTTCGTGTAGCATACGCCTGTTTGATTCAGTAATATAGACCAAACCAAAATCGTGATTTAAAAACCACAATCAGTCATTATTGCTCTGAATTTTCCACAAGAATTTCGGTATATAAGGGTTAGTCATAATGAAATGCATGTTTCGTTCCAGCTATTTTCAGCAAAATGGAGTCACAGCACGGCGAGCCATTCATACGCAGAGCCCTTGGTTACATCACAGCAGCACGTAGCGGGGTCACTCATTCGGAATTACTTGATTTGCTATCCCTCGATGACTTGGTAATGGGTGATGTATCGTCGCACATGACCGTGAACGTTCGTCGGTTTCCACCGATTCTGTTGATGAGGCTCCGTAATGATCTTGATTGGTATCTGACGGAGCAATCTGCGGATGACACGTGGACGTACAGGTGGTCACACAGAAAACTCCACGAAGGTGCTGTCGAGAGGTTTGTAAAACAAATAAGATGCCCTTTCCTTATAAACACCACAAGTTGGTCAAACCAGTTGCTGTTTCATTTCTTTAGCTATATACAACAAGATGTTTCAAAGACTCAATTACCACGTATATCAAAAATGACGTCACTCTTGTCACGCAACTTTTACGTACAGGAAGGAATTATTTAAAAAAATCAATTGTACAAACACAAATTTCAATTTATTTCAAACTAAAGTAAAACCTTATATATATGAATATTTCAATTGTTCGTTATTTATACTTACAATTTGAAGTTTTATTACTTCGAATCATAATGAATAATGTCAATGAAATAAAGTCAATGAAATTTAGGCTTTATGCAACACGCTTCTTGATTCAGGGTTGAAAATCCATATTCAAGTGAAATTCACGATTACGTTGAAAAAAATAAAGCTGTACTTATCCATCCAATTACAGATACCTAGAACAGAAAGACAAAGCGCCCTCGTACCACTCAGCACTGAGTGAATATTTCATGGGAATTTGGGCCAATAAGAAGAAGCCATACCCGGGATCGGAATCTGGCGCCTTCAGATACGTTGACCCCCAGGCACTGACGTATAACATAAACACGCCTACAGGTATATCTTTTGTCAATGAAACTTTTTACACACCACAGTAATTATTAGTGTAGTATTATTGCTTATCACTGCTATATAGTGTTTTCATATTAATACACAATAATGAATCTAGAGTCAACGCGTAACTATTTACTAGATCGTGTCTGATTGGCTACTTAACCCGAACACCTTACAGTCTGACCAATCAGAAAGCAGCTTGTTTTGACATGTTTGTTTTCGATGTATGAAATTCTGACATGTATATATACTTTGATTTAAATGTGAACCTACATTGGAATGTGAAATATTGGAGAACTCAGGTATGACCAAGGATTGGGTGAAAACAAAATACTTTTTTGCCCCACTCAAATATTCACCATATTAAGGGCGGCAGTCGTCGCGCCGCGTCCTGTTCGATATGGGACTCATAGCGACGTATACAACGCGTGTAAAATACATTGTTTATTTACATGAAATTCGACACGCGCTGCGCGACGACCACCACCCTTTAAGCATTGCATTCTACAAAATACATTTATTATATGTTTTACTTTCTATTAGGAAAAACCAAGACTATATTCAATCTACGCAAATTAAATGAATTACCACACCATCTGATAAACTCTAACCAGTTTGAGAAGTTGAAATTAGCAATCCTGCTTAATTACGAATGGTTTGGCCTAAACTACGAGCGACCTCTCTACGGACTGTTCTCGACGATATTCACAACGCTCTAGTCATCGAACCCAGCGACAAGGAATTGAAGCTCATCGCCGACTCGTTGCAGTTGTCAGAGACAGCATTAATGCGGAATCCCCGAGAGCTAGCCACACAATTGGTTGGTCGGCTCCGTGATATCATTGTCAAAGACAAACCGATATCACCGGGTGATCCAAAGAAATATCCACACATGGGACGTTTTCTGAAACAGGCCATCAAGTCTTCCATTCCCACGTTCATACCTTCTATGACTTGTCTGACCCCTCCTGGGGATGTTCTAAACGACCTGTTAGCCGGACACACCGATGTCATAACAGCGATCACTGTGACCGCGGATGGATATATTGCTGTAACAGCAGCGAAAGACAATTGTATAAAGATATGGGATTTAAGAAGCGGTAAAGTAACCAAGACAATCCAGGGAACGGGGAAACAGGTAAGGGGTTCCACCATCAGATTAACAAATATTGTTTTTAAACTGTTCATATTATTTGCCAATGTCACACTGTATCTTTCGTTGTAGATACGTGCAATACGGCTGTGTCTCAATCATTTCTATGCTGTCACCGCTGAGACTGGGATGATTCGAGTTTGGAACACAAGAACCGGCCAATGCGTTTTCAAAGTAGACGACTACATTGACCCAGCGTCCATCACTGCAGCTGGCGGTGATTTGCAAATTCTTGTGGCGTTCTATAATGGTTCCAACGTGATGAGAACGTGGGATTTGGAAAATAATTTCCAGAAACTACAAGACGTCAAGGTCCAAGAAGATGACGGTATCCACAAAGATCAATCGCTGTGTATTTCGTACAACTCACATGGCGATCAGGTGTTGTATGCTTTCCGGAGTGGGAACAAAGCTTATGTTCGTCATGCCAGAAAAGGACAATTGGTTAGTGTTTTATTTGTCTGTAAACAATAGCATTCATAGGTCAGCTTTTTTGCAAGCATCTGGACCAATGTATTAACCTACCTCATTTGTGTACATGTGCTTTCTACCAGGTTCGTACACTGACGGCATCACGTGACTCAGCCTCCATAACAGCGGTTGGCGTAACACGTGATTATTTTGTCGTGAGTTGTCGCTATCAGTACATGAAGCTATCTGAGATTTATCACCTAGAATTATTTGACACCAAGAATGGATCCTTCATTAGGTTTGTCAAAGGTAAGTTTAAATATTCATGTAATAACTGGGATTTATTAAGTTGCCATGGGACAATTGTACTTGTGTAAATTACAAAATACTCTTCCTCTTCTCTTAAAGGTTGCACCGGAGACAGGATTACAGAACTGATGATCAACAAGTCAGGTTCGCACGCTCTGTCTCTGTGTACATCTGTTGATACAAACACTTCAGATATTGCTGTATGGAATATCGAAACTGAAGACCATAAACATTTAGGTAGACATGCCAAGGTATGTTGTTGAGTAACGAACATTAAATGAATACCTTATGAAATCAACTTTTTTACTCGTTTAACATTAAAGCGCGGTAGTCGTCACGCTACGTATGTGCGACATTTGTGTTGATAAACATTGATTTTCCCACAATCCAATGCTCTCTTCGAATGGAAATCACAAGTATGAGGTTTGACCTGGGCGCGACTTGCACTAATTACATACATGGAGAAGGAGTGTATATGTTCATATATATAATGTGGAATGTATTATGGTATATGTGAGTATATATACTGTTATCATATGGAATATACTTTAATCATGATTGTGTGATCAACATTTTTGGGTATCTAGGTGTCGACCATGGGTGCCTGCATGGATCTGAATTATTGTCTAACAGCTGCCAAAGATGAGAGAGCTCTCCGGAAATGGAATTTATCTCAGAAAATCAACGATAGAGATGAGGCCGGAAAGTCAAAAGATAAAGGTGGCATAGCTGAACTGTTGCCAATGAAAGACAACCCAAGGTATGTGATTGCGAAGAACTCTAGGAATGGTCCCATGGAGGTGTGGAATGTTGTGAAAGACAAATGTGCAGGAGCTCCCATCCGTACAGAAAGAGGTCTGACTGGTGACCACGACATTGTCTTGATCCGAAATGAGCAGGTTGTCATCCTCACCGATCGTGGCATGTCCAGTGTCAGCGAAGAGCCGAAGCCAGTGTTTCAGACAATATACTCATATAACCTGCAGACGAAGAAGTATACCAATAAACTGAATAATGTCTTCATCGTGCCATCACAGCCACACGAATATCGATTGCTAGATAATAAATTATTGATGGGACTGTCAGATACCAGAGACCACCTGATATGTTGGAGTTTGGAGACCGGTCATGTAGTGCAGAGGATAAAGACGAAGTTCAAAGAGATGGAAAGGCAGCAAAGAACACTTGGACGCCGAGATGAATCAAATCTTCATGCCATCAGCCCGATGAAACAACGAGCAACCCTGCGAAGGGAGACCACAGCTATGATGACACCCTGGGAACGTCGATCTGAGACTCACACAGCAAGGACGAGAAGAAAGGAAGGAGAGATTGATAATGAGAGAAAACGTATCGAAGATTTGAGGAAAGAGAAAGACAATGCAATAGAACAATTTATTATGAGTAAGGACGAGAAAATTCTGTTATGTTCTTACTTTTCCCACCACCTGTGCGTTTTTGATATGAAGACACAGACGCATATATCAACCTTGGAAATGGAGAGTTCAATGTTGTACTTACACACTGCTGCTATGACGCCTACTGGTACACACATGGTCCATGCAAATTACGATGACTGGGATAAAATAAGCTATGTCACACTGTGGGATCTGAAGACAGGTCAAGTACGCAAACGTATCAAGAACGAGCCAAATGTTTTCGCCATTGCAATCTCTGATGATGCCAATCGAGTTGTTTTTGGTAATGATAAGAATATTCTAAAGATTTGGGATCCTTTTCAGAAGAACTCTCTCAGGAAGATTAAAGGCTATGCTGGGTTGAGACTAGGTGTTGGTAGTCAGATGTATTTGATTGAAAGGGCTACACAGGCAATCGTTCTTAGTGGGGATGTTTCTCTCTGGGATCTCGAGAAGGCAGCATTGCTGGCGGTATATACGCCAGATACACGCATTCAATGCATGGAAGTTGTTTTAGATGGGCAACTCATTATCTTAGGCCTCAGGGACTCATCTAGTGTAGTCACGTTGAAGCTAAAAGGTAGGGAAATTAAAGAAGTCAAAATACCGCGAGATATAGGGCCAGAGTTGTTTAATGAAACAACTGGTGATACAGATGATGAGGACTCCGATGAAGATCCATAAGATGTCTAGATCCTGCAAGACAGTTTAGATCCTCTTTGTATGATGGAATGTTTCGAAGTTTGTGCCATCCCCTGCGAGAATATGATGAAAATAATAATAATGATTTTACATCCTAAAAATATTCCCACTTCTGTCTCATACATTTCATGCAAAATGTGAAATGTCATCATAATTATCATTAAATTAAAAGGTGGTGGTCATGTGAATGTTTTAAATTAAGGTTGGTGCTCAGTAATGATGATATACAAACACAAACTCACGGGTTGCAGGATTTTTATCAACACAATCAGAAGTTAATGATTTGTATTGTAAGGTGTGTATTAAACTCACTAACCCCAGATCACATGTGTGTCAAATCATAGACCTTAGAAGGTCTATGGTCAAATATATCTAAGAATTTTCAATCAATTATAACCAATGCTTTCAATCGGTAATTTGTAATTATATATACATCCTGTTCATTTAATCATGATAAGATATAGACACTGAGTAAATATCACATTCTGCATGTTAATATATTTAGTCGTTCATATGATAAATTCTCACGTGGCTTGTTTAACTGTCCATATAACTTATTTCGCTGCCAATTTTGCGTGTTCATGCATAAATGCATGTGTCCATCAATCAATCGATCCACCAACCATTCAATCAAGCGAGCCATCCATCCATTCATCCATCCACCCATCCTCCCATCCGTGTGGTCCTTTTAATCAACAACTTGTATGCGTTGTGTAACATTACTAAGTTGCCTTCTGTGATCCCAGGAGAGACATAACACCAAGAATCTTTCCTATGTATTCTCCTTCAACTGCTTACAGTGTATACTACTGACTTCTAAATATCTTACTACTAACAGTTATATAATTTGTAATATATCTGTATCTTTATTATGTTGATTTTATTTTATTAACGCGGGGAGTCGTCACCTGCGCATGCGTCATATGGCCATAGCGTGTCATTGTTTACGAACAAGCGTATACCATGGGCCTTTGCGTTTTGAGCGTGTGTTGTTATCGTCGTTTGGGACTCAATTTCCGAGCGTGCGCAGGTGACGATCCTCCCGCTTTAACAACCGTCCAACAAATGCACGCAATGTTTTGTACGTCCAAAGGTACGGCACTGATCATTTTTGTGGATGAATGTCCCGACTTTTTTGTGTATCCTGCCATCACATAGCATGCATGAAAATGTTATTATTTAGTCCATATTTATTTGAATTATTAAAGTTGTTTAACATGTTCATTACACGTAAGGTGGCAATATGGAGCTTGGAATGAATAAGTTGCATTAAATATTAGTGCTGCACTATACTAGACAGCTCTACCTTTGGTGCGTGCCATATTTAAACATTTTGCTGTGAATCATTTTATCAATTCCGTCCAATGCGAACTTTCCTGAATTGAAATCATACATGTATTTTGTAGTTAGTTTTTTATGATACATATCAATTTACAAAATCCATTCATTATTTGATTTCATGTACATATATTTGTAACACAAATATTTCAAACAACATTTTGCTATTACATTTTTGTTCAAAAAAATGTATTCTATTAATGCCCAAGTCAATGTAACTGAATCATTTGACAGTTGAGGTTAAAGTTCGAAGTGACGAAATCGAGGTTTGGCGTCATATATACAAACAAAAGTGAGAATATTAGATCCAGATCATTCTGATCATTGGGTTTCTGTCTGTTCTGATATACATACACATTGTAACCTCCACTGCATACACGTATAACGGCGGGTGTACATAGATTGGCGCACAGTATAAGTTCGCGAATTATGTGCTGTTATATGTAACATTGTAGGGAACATACAATAGAGAATATTTGGTAAAACACAAGTTATGTACTATTTTCGTAGTTATATAGCTACTTAGAAAACTAATTATATAGAAATTGTGTGCTAGCTAACTT